AAACAAGTAATGGTAGTCTCTATGTTTAGTCCCAAGGCTTGGAGGGACATTGGGCACACTTTGGCCCTTATAAAGGGGTTTACTCTCCAAGATGTTCTTGGGCGGTAAACTCCCAAATCTTGTTGTTTTGACTTGATTTTCATGTTATTAAGGCATATAACACACTTATATACACTCTAGGTTGAAGTACTTACAGTTGGGGGTGATCGGGTGAAGATCCTTGAGAGAGAAAATCGACTTTTCTCTAGCTAGAAATGTAACAAATGAATTCCAAATGGCTAAGTTTTCCTTATATAGTCTCGGGGGTTTTTGGTCCAAATATCATTTTTGGACGGTAAATTCCAAAATCTTGAAGTTTTGGACATTTAATGTTACGTAATAAACCCTAGGGTATCCTCTCTCCTGATATTCTTTGAAGCACTAACTTGAAGACACTCAAACTTATTCCAATAAGCTTGAAAGTTAGCAGAAACAGACTTGGCTTCTATTGAACTGGATGGTTTCACTGAATGGAAAATTTTGGGTTGTCACAAATGGTACATCGAGTTCTTACTCAGGTCCATAGCACTCTGACTATCGCAATGAATGATGTACTCTTCTTGTGGAAAGCCTAATTCTTGAAGAAACTGTTTCATCCATATAAGCTCCTTCCCAGCTTCAACGACAGCAATATACTCGGCTTCTGTTGTTGACAGTGTGACACACTTCTGTAACTTAGATTGCCACGAGATAGCTCCCCCTGCCAAAGTAAAAATGTAACTTGATGTAGATTTCCTATTATCAAGATCTCCTGCCATATCGGCATCTGTATAACCTTCCACGATTAGCTTTGCTCCCCCGTAGCATAAACATAGTTTCGAACTACCCTTCAGGTATCGAAGTATCCATTTGACTGCTTCCCAATGTTGTTTTCCCGGATTAGCTAGATATCTACTCACAACACCGACAGCATGAGCAATATCTGGTCTTGTACACACCATTGCATACATAAGACTTCCTACGACTGAGGAATAGGGGACTGCCTTCATCTCTTCTTTTTCTTTCTCAGAAGATGGACAATTTTTCTTACTCAACTTGAAGTGGTTAGCCAAGGGCGTACCAACGGGCTTGGCATTTTCCATGTTGAACCTTTTGATCACACGTTCAACATACTCTTCCTGTGATAAGAACAATTTTCTTGATTTTCTATCACGGATAATTTTCATGCCCAATATCTTTTGTGCTTGGCCTAAGTCTTTCATATCAAAGAACTTAGACAAATCCTTCTTCAAGTTGTTGATCATCGTTGCATCTTGGCCCACTATCAACATATCATCCACGTAGAGCAAAAGGATGACAAATTTACCATCTGAAAACTTCTTCAGATAGACACAATGGTCTGTAACAGTTCTCTTGTACTCATGATTCATCATAAATGAATCAAACTTCTTGTACCACTGCCTTGGGGCTTGCTTAAGACCATAAAGGCTCTTCTTTAATTTACAGACGAGATGCTCTTTCTTTGGGACTTTAAAGCCATCAGGCTGCTCCATGTATATTTCTTCATCCAAATCACCATGGAGAAAGGTTGTTTTCACATCCATCTGCTCAAGTTCAAGATCTAGACTGGCAACTAATCCGAGTACAACTCGAATAGACATCATCTTCACAACCGGCAAAGAAATTTCATCAAAGTCGATTCCTTCTTTTTGTTGGAAACCTTTGACAACGAGTCTCGCCTTATACTTCATAGTATTTCCCTTGCCATCTTTCTTCAACTTGAAAACCCACTTGTTTTTCAAGGCTTTCTTTCCTTTGGGAAGTTTTACCAACTCATATGTTTGATTCTTCTGCAAAGAATTCATTTCTTCTTCCATGGCCTTCTGCCAATTTGCTTTGTCAATATGAGATTGAGCTTCTTGAAAGCTCTCTGGCTCCCCCTCACTAGTAAGAAGGATGTAGTTTGAAGTCGGATATCTTCTTGATGGAGCACGGACTCGTTTGGATCGTCGAAATTGAGTTCCTTCATTTGCAACTTCTGGCAGTGGATCTGAATTATCCAGGGGTGGAAGCCCCCCCTGCTCAACATCTTCTTGATCTGCATCATCGACTTCTTCATCCACTTCTTCAGCGGAAACATCTTCTATATTTTCAGATGTTATTTCTGAAACTTTGGAGCCTGGTTGCTCGTTAATCGATGCCTTGAAATCGTAATACTGGTTTTCATAAAAAACCACATCTCTACTTCAAATAACCTTCTTTAGTTCTGGGTCCCATAGCCTGTACCCGAACTCTTCATCTCCATATCCAATAAAGATGCATGGAGTGGATTTGAGGTCCAACTTCTTCCGTAATTCACTTGATACATGTGCAAACGCCTTGCACCCAAATACTCTCAAGTGAGAATATTATATGTCTTTACCCGTCCATATCTTCTCCGAAACTTCAAAATTCAATGGAACGGAAGGTGACCTATTTATGAGATAGCAAGCTGTCAATAAAGCTTCACCCCAGAATGGCTTTGGGAGTTTAGTCATGCTGAGCATGCATCGAACTTTCTCAACAATGGTGCGATTCATCCGTTCTGCTACACCATTGTGTTGTGGAGTTCGTGGGACAGCTTTTTCATGTCTGATACCATGTTCCTTGCAGTATGTAGAGAACTCATGGGAATATTACTCGCCTCCATTATCTGATCTGAGACATTTGAACTGCTTGCCTGTTTGTCTTTCCACCATTGCATGAAAAGCTTTGAAGCGGTCCAATACTTGGTCCTTCGTCCTCAAACAGTATGCCCATACCTTTCGTGACGCATCATCAATGAATGTCACAAAATACCGGCTTCCACCAAGAGATTCTACTTCAATGGGTCCACATACGTCGGAGTGGACAAGGCTCAGCAACTCAGAGCGGTTCTTTCTTGTGGAGCTAAAGGAAACTCTATGTTGTTTCCTAAATAGGCAGTATTCACAAGGATCCAAGGCAACATCTTTTGCCATTGAAATGGACTCCTTCTTTGCAAGAGTCGTCAATCCCTTCTCGCTCATGTGGCCTAGTCTTCTATGCCACAAGTTTGGTGATGTCTTTTCTTCAACAATATTGAGACTTGGCTGAAGTAGCTTTGCATGGATTTTATAAAGAGTACCACCAAGTTGTCCCCTTGCAACAACCATAACACCTTTTAACAACTTCCAGGTGCCATTTTTGAATTGATTATCATATCCTTGGACGTCAAGAGCTCCAACTGAGATAAGATTCATTCTCAGCTCTGGGACATGCCGAACATCTTTCAACACCAATGTACATCCAACATTGGTCTTTAAATGCACATCACCAATACCAGCAATGCTTGAGAAACTGGTGTTTCCCATCTTTACGGTACCATGGTCTCCGGGTTTATAAATAGTGAATAAATCCCGGTTTGGAGTCGAATGATATGATGCAGCGCTATCAATCACCCACTCATCATCATGAGTTCCAACATGTAGGCATGCTTCCTCCTCGTATGTAACAAGGGAAACGTCTTGTGTTATGGTGACCATGGTTTCACCATTCTCCCTGCTTGGATTCTAGATTGTCTCGGGCTGCTCTCGTAAGAACCTTCGGCAATCACTCCTTTTGTGGCCATAATAATTACAATGATTGCAATAGCCTTCGAACCATGTATTTGAAGATTTACCTCGCTCTCGCGATTTCCCTCGATCTTGGGATCTTCCTCTACTTTGACCATGTCTGCCTCTACCTCGACCTCGACCTCTAGTTCTGCCTCCGCCTCTTTCTTTATTTTCTGACACGAGGGCAAAAGACTGGTCTGTACCAGCTTCTTTCCTTCTGGCTTCCTCGTTCATTAGGGCGTCTGTGACCATCTCCATTGTCACTTTACCATTGGGGGCAGAATTGCTGAGAGTCACAACAAGTGTATCCCAATTATCTGGTAGAGAACTCAAGAGCAATATGGCTTGTTCCTCGTCTTTGAGAACCCAATCAGCAGCACCGAGCTGGTTTAGTAGATCCTGGAACTGACTCGTATGCTCGGTTATGGACATACCACTTCGTAACTTGTGGTTTACAAGGCGCCTCATCAGCAAGGTCTTGTTGCGTGCCGTCTTTGCTTGATACATATTCTCGAGCTTCTCCCAAAGTTTGTACGCGTCTGTCTCTTGAGAGACATGATGAAAAACACTGTGGTCGATCCATTGTCGAATTTGTGCCACCATTTTCCTGTTTATTCTCGTCCAAACTTCGTATGTCTTCGTTTCGGGTTTGACGCCTTGCTTTTCTATAGGCTCTGCTAAATCTTTCAGATTAAGCAAATCTTCCATCCTTGGCTTCCACATGTTGTAATTTGTGGGCGTAAGTCGAACCATCGTAATCGTACTTGTAGATTCCATCGAAAATATTGCAAATTTATTTTACAAATATTTCGAAGAAAAATTAGATAAAACCGAGCTCTCGGTTGGATTCGGAAGCGTAAAAAATGGTGGGGTAGAGTTTTTCGGGGTCAAAATATACTTTCTTGAAAAGTTATGTGCTAATTTGTAACTTTTCGGAACTATAGGGGCTAAACTGTAATTTTTGGAACTTACAGGGGCCAATCTGAAATATTTCTGCCAACCAGGGACTTTTATGAAACTTTTCAGAACTCCAGGGACCAAAACAGATGTTTTCAGAAGAAAAGGGACCGAACTGCAGTTTTTCAGAAACAGAGGGACCTTTCTGCAATTTTCTGGAACTTCAGGGGCTAAACTGCAACTTTCTGAAATTATGGTCAATGATGACCTCACTGATGACGTCGCTCCTTCTCCGGCGAGGCTTTCCGGCGACTGGTTTTTCCGGCGATATTTTCCGGTGACTTTGACCAAACTTTGACCGACGTTTTGGAGGTCTTCCGGTGGTCAAAAAATTACGAAAAATATATTTTCGGAATCCTTGAAACAAGCCCTTTCCAACGGTATACTCAAAAACGGATTTTGAGACAAAAATATTTTGACGAAAAAACAGAGAAATTTGTAAAGAATTCCCTGGACACCAAACGGGGCTCTGATACCAGTTGTTGGGGTCGGAAAACTCTTCTATTAAAAACTAAAATAGAATTACAATAGGAGGAGCAACTCTCACACTCAACTATTACAAAAACCAACCCTCTCACTAACACTCTCACTCTAAGTGTTATAACATTTGTTTCTCTATATTTGGGATGCATACAACTGAAGAATGAAGCCTCTATTTATAGTCTTGGCAGCCACCATTATAGTTGCGTCTATTAATTGTGTTCATCATAGGATGGGAAGACTTTGCCACCCTAGGTATCATTTTGTCAACAAAAATGGCTATTGTAGCTTTGGAGGCTGGAACACAACACTCTTGAGATGGCTTCTCTTTCAATGAAAACAGATAGCTGGGATATCACAAGTACAGCCCCAGCAGGGACCTTGTCACCTTGTAACCTCTCCTGCTGCTGCTGCTCTTCTTGTTGTTGTACAACATTAACATTAATATTTTGTCCGGAGAGCAACAGTAACTCATCATTAAGTCGTCTGAAGAACCTCTGAAACCCTTCATGTATCCAACCAATCATCATGTCTCTTAGCTTCAATATCAATCCCAACTCTTCATCAAGAACAACACGGAAATCCTACACTAACATCAATTGTACAATATCAACTAATTAATAATACACATGTATGTATGTATGTATGTATGTATGTATGTATGATTTACCAATAAGAGTTTTGTACTGCCTTGAATCAAAGTATTTTTGGTGGCCTCAAGGGCAGCTCCCAAAGGATACTCCTTGCCTGTGCCATCTTCCTTTTGAATTTGCAGGAGAGTGTCTGGCAGTTCAAATCAGAAGAAAACCAACCAAAGCATTACACTTTTATCCTTTGTTCATATTAAAAAATATATGCATGTCTTGTTTACAGAGACAGAGACAGAGACAGAGACAGAGACAGACTAACCGGATATTTCATGAAGAAGATGGGTAAAAGCACTGGCAACATACTCACTCACAGCAACACAAGCAGCCTGAACCCATCAACATTTTTAATAGTCAACTAAACAAATTATAACTCATTACTCATAGATAGATAGATAGATAGATAGTAATGATGACCTCGAAACCAAAATCTTGTACACCAGCCTCTGGTAAGACTTCATCCATCAGGAGGACATCAGTCCATATAAACCCTGTAAGTAACACATTTTATTCATCTCACATTCTCTTGTTAACGCCTACAACCATAAACAATAATAATAATACATACGAAGTCGGCTGGATAATTTTTCTGGAGATATCCGTTGCTGTATTTCTTGTCTGGCAGCTTCAAAGTGCCTGATAAACCAACCAAACACCAATTAGGTATCAACATTCAACACAACAAGATGCAGATGCATATTATTATTATTATTACCTTGTGGTTAAATATTGCACGAGTTTGACCAGTTGCTGCTCTGAATCAGGGAAAATGACATGATATGCGTGAACAGCTTCCACAAATTCACGAGTGGGAACCGATTCAACAAATTGGGCAGCTCATGATCAACTTGCAAATGAAAACAGTTGTGTATTTGTAATTACCTCGGGAACACAAGGAATGGAATCAGATTCACTTCCTTCATTGGTAGATTCACGAGAACCCATGCCTGTTATCTCTTTAGAGAGATCAAGTTCCCCAAGGAACTGCTCTAGATTTTCAAGAAGCTTGGATTTCAAATTTTCAACCTGCCAACATGCATACCTTACCTAGTCAATCAAATACTTTCTCTGTGCATTTCATTAAAATAATAGGGAAAAAAAACATGACAACTTGATCATTTACATCAGCTTCAAAATATGTTTCAAATCCTCCAAAAAGTAATTTAGTATCCTTTCTTTTTTTGATTTTCGGGTACAGCAGGATAGTCTTGTGATCTTTTAGTAACACAAATATATCAAACTTTCACATAACCATACTCTGTGAAATCATATAGTTATTCCTTTTTGGCTTTTTGTTTTTCTATTCCATATGTACTCAAACATGTGTTACCAACACAACAGGCACTACTAGAGGTCTAAAGTAAATCAAAGTGACAATCATTTTGACTATGGAACTAATAGTAACTATACATAACAGCTGAAAAGAGCACATGAAATGCAAAATTCAAGCTGTTTTGCTTTCCATGTTTCCATGTGTGTAGGCTAATGATTGGATGCATGTATGCACATCACAAGTTGTGTATCCTTTCTTCAATTCAATGTACAAGTTAATATTCAGCAAGTCCACAAAATAAATACTGCAGGACAAAGCTCTTGAATTGAATTTGTTGCTAAAATCAGAGTTACAAACCGGAAAATCCAACTGCTTAAGAAGCATTACAGCCTCCGCTCTTGCTTGTATTGATTCAGATTCAGAAGAAACCTTATCCTGAAAGACAAGATGCACAATATTGTTTTCTTTTTATTAACATATATTCCAAACGGCTATATAAGGATCTGAATAAATCTCAGAAATAAATTAACAATGAATGTACCTGAAGCTTGTTAACGATAACTGACATTACTTCTTCAGATGCTTTCTTACAATCCTGGAATGAGGAGTCCCCATATGCCTGGTGAAAGTTCAACATACAGAGCAAAAAGATAAATGAATTGCATGGGTTCATAAGCACATGTGAGGGCTCATAAGCATCTGATCTGATCTGACAGAAGGAAGAAAAGTTGATAAAATGACCTTAAATATTGGCATGGCTCCAGTGTAGAACCTCACTGCATCACCATATGCTTCAGATTTGATGCATTTTCCAAGCGTGGTAGGAAGATCGTATATAAACTGCTCAACAAAGGTAATGAGTAGATATTATATATTATATATATATGTTTGGCAAAAGTAACAATCAGTAGAAGTGGAAAGGTCATTTTGGTACCTGAACTTTGCGCAATAGATTACGGGTGCGGTGTAATTTCTCTATATGCTCTCTCTTTTCAAAAAGTGAAGTGTTGACCCCATCACTTCGCGACTGCACTGACATTATCTGCAAAAAGTAATAAGTAGTGGTATTATTTATATAACTTTCTACGTTTTTCTTGCTAACAAGGTCAACAATGTGTTCCCAAAATACCTTCTCAAGGAGTTGCTCCATATTTACTTCCATACCAACAATATTATTCTTCATTCTGCCACAAAAAAAAAAAGTTATTAATATACATATCCAACACCAATCAATGTTACTGGCCAAACAACCAATAAAGCAGATTTGGTAACTCAGAGATAGTGTCTGTCTAACCTTTTAATTGTATCTGTAGCACTGATAAACTTGTTATAATTTTCATACACTAACATTTGCAAGTCAGTGTCAAGATTCTTGATTTCAGCAGCCATTTCCACATGTCTCTGAAGGAGGCCTTCCAGATTTGACTTTTGTACCTGATACGTAAGGGAAAGAAGCATCCAAAGGTGCTCAAAGCTGACAATGTAGCCATGGATTGATGTCCTTATCACTCTTCATTATTCAAAGTGCCTCAGACTTGGATAATGTAAACCTCTTATATGGAGGCCTGGTAAATGTTTGGAAGTACAGAATTAACCACTTAGGACATACTAGATCACATTGGTGGTGCACTTGTATGCACATTTTGTATTCATCTTTTAAAAGGTTATACATTTATAGCCCTTTCTTGCATGTGCTTACAGTCATAGACTTAAGATGCTATATATATCAAAACTCAAAATATATTTGATATCTTACAGAAAATTAATAGGATGGATTGAGAGTCTAATAACACCACAAGAAACCACATGCACTTTCGAAACCCTAATCTTCATCAAAGTATGTCGAATATCATATTAATAGATAACTGTTGTAAAGTGTTATTGCTTTTTTTGTTAATGAAAGCCAGTCCCTAGCATCCCATCTTTTCTCATGACTAAATTTGTGACAACATTTGTATTATCTATGATGCAACAAAGCCCTATTATAGTCCTTCCCCAACTTGTTTGATCAGTTCCACTACACAAACCATTTCTTTTTTTTGGTATATTCCCGATGGTATACAAGTACCATGTACATGGATCTGCTAGAGGAAGGGCCTGAAATTTCATGTTAAGCATATTATCACTTGGTGGGGAATGGCCTGAAAAATCCAATGAGTGATTAATAATCTTGTTAGTTGTTAGACACAAAAACTAGTTCTGACAGGTCATTAGGTTAAAAGAAGGTCCCTGACTAAATTAGTCTAGTATTGTTTAAAGACTCAACACAAAAAATAGTTATCATCCCAAAGTCTGATGAATCATTTGTTTTAAAGAAGTTCGATCATTTGGTTTAAAGAAAAAGTTCCCTGACTAAATTAGTCAAATATTTGTTTAAAGACTCAAAATTCTTGTAACTCAAGATAGGGTTAGGAGAAGGACACAGCTCACCCTTACTCATCCCCGAAAAACAAAATCTAAGCCAGAAAATGAAACATTGTAAACATTTTATAATGTAAGTTGTCAAATAGTAAACCAGTCACATAATAATTTAGACTTAAGAGTTTAATGATAGGCTTAATTAATAGGAGGCTTATCTTTAAAAAAACCTACAGGTTCAACCTTGACTGGTAAGGAAAGAGCCCTTGTACTAATTACTAAAAGAATAGAAGATATAAGCCTATCTATCTAACTTCTTTGACAAATGTAAATGAAGTATGCCAAAGATTCTCTATAATGCACTCAGTGATTCTCTAATTGAACAATTTTATTCCTCCCAGTGGCTAAGGTTAACAGCATCAAAGTGTTGGCAAAAACATGTTCGATTAATCAAGATTCAATGGAGAAATCCAGATTTCTAAATCTGGAATAAGGGTGATGTGGAACCTTCATTGTAAGTCTTGAATAGCATAGTGATATGTATATACATTTGATACTCAATTACTCATAGAGAGAAACAGTTTACCTCTGACATGAAATGGGCTCAATTAAATTGTAATATAACCCAGATTTTGATACAACATTAAGAGATAAAAGAAGAGAGGGAGAAGTTTTTATTTAATAAAATATTTAAGATGAGATGAGAGGGCGTACAAGAAGGTTCATGTACTGATCGGCATCGAAGGAGGTGGTGTTGATAGTGTCGAGAGTGGCAAATCTTGATGTGGTGTTGGTGGGAGCAGAAGTCTGAGAAGCATCCTGTGAATAGAAACTCGACAGCAGATCTCGAGTTCTCTTTACCTTATCATCCTCCACTGCCATTTTTCTCTTTCTCTCTAGTCCCTCTTCACCTGTACCTATGTATGTTTCTTCTCCTAAACCACACTCAATTAGATATCTTCTCTGTAGTGTATAACTTCCTCCCTTATCTGAGAGTACCAAAATGTAAACAACATAAATACCAACAATGTAAACAACAAATCACACAAAAACAGGCATAACTCATATCAACAACATTATTTGAGACATTCTACTAACAATTCACACACAAATAGGCATCAGTCATACTTCATGTTAACATCAAGCAAGATTAAGACCAAACTATATCAACCAGACGTAATTCAGAAAACCCTATAAACTGCTCTATTTCAAGAATCACATAAAACCAACTACCAACTGTAGACCTTATAACAGCAAATCAGATTATATCAAACTGCCTTAAAATCATCTGCTTCATCGATTCCAAAAAAATAAATAGATAATTCATCAGCTTATACCGAACCATAAAAAGAAATCCGGATTCCAACCAATAAACTGGGAACCATATACTAGAAATCAGACAAGAAATTGAGTTCTAGATTCAAGTAAATCACGTGCTTCATCTATTCCAGAAATCAAAATTCATGTATCGATCCTGGAGGTATAACCGGATAAAGAAAGTGGGACTAACCGGATCGGAGAAAGAGCAGTAGCCGGCGCCGGAGATCGGATGTCTAGACGGAGATCGGAGAGGGTCACAGCTGATGAACGTTGTGAAGGGAGTGTGAAGAACGAATGTGGAATAATTGACAACGTGAACGAGGGGAGTATTTGGGGGAGAATGGGGTATATAGGTAATTTTAATGAGGTGTTCAAATAAATACAAGTGCCAAAAACTAATACAATACGAACTTGACGGAAAATAAAACCATTTTGGGTAATACGACCAATACGATAAATAAACCGGTAAGTAAACCAGTAAGGTTAGGGTCCAAAATATGGTTTGAAAATATCTCATTTATTTATATGTAATTTTTTTTTGAATTTTTTAAATAAACTATAAAGATTCAAAACCAAAACCATAAGTAAAAGAAAATCTTTGGATTGAGTCGTTTTGTAATGTGGAAATAAATTAGTCGTCCAGATCAAAACTTCATTTTTAGTTTTTTTCGTTTTCTCCCAAACTATATAGTCCCTTTGACAATTCTCCCATCCTCGTGATCTTGTTTTCCACCTCCCTAGTTCTTATTTTTTCCATTTTGTCATTTGAACTTGTTATGACTTTATTTATCTCGTCTCTCAACTATTATTTTTTTCCTTTTTGACTGCTCAACTCCCACTCTTTCAACATGTTTAGTGTTTCAACCTCACATGACACAACATCACGACATGTTTCAAAGTATACCCCTAACAAGAAACCCGAGAACTCGACATTAAAATAAAGTTGACACAACATGGCATGTTAATTAAACGGGTCAGGTTAAGGTCAAACACTTTCAACCTGTTTATTGTTTCGACACGACACAAACTCGCACACGACGGAACACGATTGCCACATCTAGTTCCAATAAACTATTTTTTTAAAGAAAAAAAAATACTTATTTCATATCCAAACATTTTTTTAATTTATTGGTTTTAAAAAAAAAACAATAATTTAATAAGTTATTTCAAAAAGCAACCCAAACACCCTCTTAATATCCAGCTATCGTAGTGAATGAGTTATGCCGATGAGGGACATATAACTGAGATTTGCGAGAGCCAAAGGAGAATATCGACAGGGTACTCAGGCAGACCAACCTTTTTAGTAAACAATTTGATATGTTGTCGAAACACATCCTTCAACTTTATATTTTAAAAAATCATTAAATCCATGTCGTTTAAGATTATTTTTAGATGATAGTGTTAGTTAGGGACTTCGTTTTCTTCGGAGCTGCATTAGTGTCCGCAGGTCGCGCCCATGCACAAGTTCAGGAATTTTGATCTACGAAATCCAAGATTTGCACCCCCTACACGCGGGTAGGACTTGAAGTAAAACCATAGACACAAGTTTGTAAGCCTTTCATGCATTCAAGCTTATAAACCTAGTTGAGTTTAGTTTTTTTACCAATGTGGGACTCATTCCCACATTCATCTCTTTTGCTGACTTTATTCTCAAATACCCGTCTTTGAGTATCGATATCTTATCACATATACTCCATTTTGGACATATAATATATCGTTTCGAAGTTCTCACGGAGGAGAAAATAAACTCACTTAGAGTTAATTATATATACAACATATGTATATATTTATATATGTCCAAAGTTAGTAAAAATATAAATATTTATACTAAATTTTTCCAACAATCCCCCACATGAATAGAGATCGATCTCTGCACATCAAATTTTCAACAGGTGAATCCTGCATAGGATGGGTAGGTATTACCATTTGAACCCTCCCTTAAGAATTACACTTAATCTCCTAGCACTCAGTAGATCTCGATGTCTTTAAACTGAACTGCCATTTGTGTAGATGACAATATAATTCTCACAATACTCTCCCTGACAAATTCATATCCTCATAGACGTGTTTGTTTTTGGTCATGAACACTAACCTGGTTCTGCAAGAGCTTTAGGAATTGTACCCCCATAATTCCTTTCGAAGCGACCCCACTTCTCTCTCACATAGGTGATTCCGGGAATTATTAAAAACCATATGTTTTAGCCTAATTTTGTCACTACATATAGGAATGGACTAGGAAGTAATGTTAACCCCCCCCCCCCCCACACACACACACATACAATGACTTACTTCACTCATACAACTAGGTTGTCCTTTTGAACCCAAATCTTTGGATCTCCAGTCTGTTGGGTAAGGTTTCCTTCATATGAATTTATTCATTCAAGGGCTTTAGTCTCATTCCTCTTGACGACTTATAAACTACATCTCTACCCAAGCCTTTTGTAAGCGGATTCGCAATGTTATCCTTTGACTTCACCCAGTCAACCGTGATAACCCTCGTAGAGATTAGTTGTCATATCGTTTTATGTCTACGTCTAATGTGCTTTGATTTCCCATTATACATTGTACTTTGAGCTCTACCAATTGTTGATTGGTTATCACAATGTATACATATGCCCGTTACCGACTTAGGCCATTCGGGAATGTCTTCTACAAATTGACGTAGCCACTCCGCCTCTTCAACACAAATATCTAAGGCGATAAATTTATATTCCATCGTAGATCTGGATATAACTGTTTGCTTGGACGATTTCCAAGCTGCGGTAGCACCTCCAAGTGTAAACACATATCCACTTGTAGATCTAGAATCTTTTATGGCAGATATCCAATTTGCATCAGTGTATCCATCGATAACTGTTGGATGTCTGTCATAATGCAGTCCATATTCTCGCGTGTATCTCACATACCTTAGCAGCCTAGTAATACTCTTCCAGTGTTCAGAACTGGGTTTACTAGTATATCTACTTAGTCTGCTCACAACATATGCTAAGTCAGGTCTGGTACAACTCATTAGATACATCAGGCTGAAAATAATTCTTGATATTCCACTTGATTAACACTATCACCTCTATTTTTACGTAGATGTTGACTAGTGTCAAATGGAGTTCTCTGTGCTAGTATCTTCGTTAGCAAATTTTTCAAGAATCTTATATATATAGCGTGTTTGATTTAAAATCAAACCATTGTGGGTTCTTGTGATCTTGACTCCAAGAATCACATCCGCTAAACCCATATCTTTCATGTCGAACTTGGATTTCAACATATCCTTCGTGGATCTTATCATCTTGTCATCACTACCAATGATAATCATATCATCAACATATAAACACAAGATAACATAATCATGAGTGGTGTTTTCATATGGATACACTTATCACACTCATTGATTCTAAAACCACTTTCCATCATGACTTGATCAAATTTTTGATGTCATTGTTTTAAAGCTTGTTTTAATCCATATAGATACTTAACAAGTTTACAAACCTTGTTCTCCTGTCCCGAGGCAATGAATCCCTCAGGTTGCTCCATATAAATTTCTTCTTCAAACTCCCCATTTAGAAAAGCATTTTTCACACCCATCTGATGAGCTTGCAGATTTCTAATAGCTGCAATGGCAATAACTAATCTAATGGATGTTATTCGCGTTACCAGCGAATATGTATCAAAGTAATCTAGACCTTCCTTTTGTCTATAACCTTTGATTACTAGCCCTGCCTTGTATTTACCAATACTGCCATCAGGTTTCATTTTTCTCTTAAAAATCCAACGGCAACTAAGTGGCTTAGGTAGATCCACTAGCTCCCATGTATGATTTTGTAAGATAGATTCCACCTCATTTTTATGGCTTCTTTCCATTGTTTGGAAATATAATCTAGTTTGTTTGGCTTCAACACATATGGGACATTTGTGATTTGAGTCAATATTAAGTTTTAGTATGTAGTCTAGTTTAATTAATCGTTTAATATTATTGTAATTTACATGTCCTAAGCGACCATACCAAACATTTGAACACTCAAGCAAATAAGCAAAACTGAATCTTGCTTTATTCATTTTGTTTGTCACCAGTACATTCAATTTGAACATGTAATTCAAGGCATATCCTTTCCCTACAAACATACCATTCTTGGACACAACAAACTTTTCCAACTCAAACACAATCTTAAAACCAAGCTTATTCAACAAACCACCCGACACTAGATTCTTATCCCTAAATTTCACATCTTTCCCCGAAGTCATTTTTAGAATGACATCACCAACACCTTTGATATTTGCGGTAACTGCATTTTCCATGTAGAGCTTTTCACCATCTTCAACTTCCTTGAAAACGCTCTTATCATGATACACATGACAAGTAGCCCCCGCGTCAATCCACCACTCCTTTGAATTTATATTCATGAGATTCACCTCAAAGACCATAGTCGTGAGATCAGTTATCATGGTCACCAACTCCATGTCCTAAGCGACCATACCAAACATTTGAACACTCAAGCAAATAAGCAAAACTAAATCTTGCTTTATTCATTTTGTTTGTCACCATTACATTCAATTTGAACATGTAATTCAAGCATATCCTTTCCCTACAAACATACCATTCTTGGACACAACAAACTTTTCCAACTCAAACACAATCTTAAAACCAAGCTTATTCAACAAACCACCCAACACTAGATTCTCACAAAGTTCAGGAACATACAAAACATCCCTAAATTTCACATATTTCCCCGAAGTCATTTTTAGAATGACATCACCAACACCTTTGATATTTGCGGTAACTGCATTTTCCATGTAGAGCTTTTCACCATCTTCAACTTCCTTGAAAACGCTCTTATCATGACACACATGACAAGTAGCCCCCGCGTTAATCCACCACTCCTTTGAATTTGTATTCATGAGATTCACCTCAAAGACCATAGTCGTGAGATCAGTTATCATGGTCACCAACTCCATGTTATTATTCACCATGTTTGCTTGACGGTTTTCCTGCTTAGGTTGCAGGCACTTCGAAGCCTTGTAACCCGGTTGGCCATAACTGTAGCACTTGAACTTCTTCTTAAACGTTCCTGGCTTGGGGCCTAAGTTTTTTTCCCCTTTACTTTCCCTTTGTGAGGTCCCTTGCTTTTGCTCTTGGAAGTTTAACCAGCTTCCACCATATGAACCTCAAAAGATTCAACTTCATTGCCTTTATTCAAAGCCATTCGATTTTCTTCTTCAATGTGAAGACGCACCACCAGTTCCTCCACATACATCTCCTTTCGCTTATACTTAAGGTAGTTTTTGAAGTATATCCAATCGAGAGGAAGCTTTTCAACCATTGATGCAACTTGGAAAAACTCATCAAGGTCC